AGCTTAGGCCATCTGGAGCCTTTGTTGCGCGGTCTTGGGGCTATGTTGAGCATAGCTTGCGTCCAGCACATTTCCACAACGAAGCCCTTTAGAAAAGAGGTGCAGGAGCCCAGAAGGTGCTGCAATGTGTCAGACCCTGCCGAGAGGCATTTGAGGGGCACGTGCCAGCGCCTAACGTCGGCTTCGAAACCCTATAGAAAAGAGGTGCAGGAGCCCAGAAGAAGAAGTGCTGCAGTATGTCAGACCCTGCCGAGAGATGCAGGCCAAGGCGACGGCGCTTGACATTGCAAGGCCCATCCACTGGCTACATCACCCAGTCATCCCAGTTCCACCTGAAGTCTCTGACACGACACGGCATGTGTCTGCATTCCTTTGTCCAACTGTCCTTTGCGACGCGAGGATGACTTAGCCATCCGCGCATCGCACATTGCCCGACGATCATCACCAGGACGCGCAGCGACGCAGATTTCTTGGTTCGATGTTGAAGGTCGCAGTTGGAGCATAAGGGCATAAGGCAAATTTTCTTCGAATCGGGTGGTTGATTCGAAGAGATACCCCTGGTCGTGTACAGCCCATATAGATTGTGTATGTATATGCTAATTTAGGAGACCTCCCAAACAACGACCCCCTAGAAGAAGGAACATGCACGGGTTCTACCCAGCCAGGGTGATCTGGTCTCTTCCTCCTAAAATACTGTACGTTACATACCCGGTAACGGTTTAGTGGTACCTGTCATTGGCTCCTTGATTCATTGAGGTGCCACCTCAGACCACACCCTTCTCTCCCGGCTCACGAGTCACTGTCTCTCGCACCGGTGCTCTTTGAGTGAACATGTCAGTGGAAAACCATCCAATTCTTAGAGCAAAATGGTCTTCCAGGGGCCATATCCTCCACTTCCCTGATTGTTTCAGGGAGTGTATCAATTCTTGGTGGACGAGTTAGTTAGTTGCTGAACTCAATCCAGAGCGTTGAGATTCCTAGAATCCACACAAACTGAAACCCAAGGCATGCACGACTAAGTGATGTTCCAAAAATTAGCCCGTCAGTGCTAGGTAACCTCGAACAGGTCATAAATTAAAGAAAGTATGAGAAAAGCCTCACGTCCCACCTAACGTCGTGAAGACTTACTGTATTGGAGGTGCTGACTGGTGATCCCTTCTCAATCTTTCGAGGCAAGATATGCATATGTAATCAAATCATATGCATACATGTTTTCTAGTAACTATAGTAACTAGAAGCTACTAGGGCTACTAGGTTGGAGGTCATCGCTACTCGTAGCAATAAAGCTTCATAGGTCTGTTTTTTGGGGGGGACCTTTCTTGCTTTAGATTTGCCTTTCTTCGCATGTATATATATATATAGTTGCACGGTATTGCGCACCTATATTATATCGGACGCGCGACATGCTTCGGTCAAACCATGCTGCCAGGAGTTGTGAAAACCCTTCGAAACAAGTTGTGGATGACGAATACAAGAGTATCCGACGGTTCCGATGGCGCCTTGACACTGCGTTTGTTCAGGCACTGCAATATCGCTGGAATGTTTGAGCTCTGTTTGTGAAGGTCCCTGTGTAAATCATTTGCATTTGCCATTACAGAGAATACAGAACCCCCACCTTCACGGCTACGTTTTGAAGAACACTACAGGTGTTTCATGTGCCTGATTGCTTTGTATACTATGGACTTTCATGGACCATTGGATTTCATCTTACCAACATATTGTTGCGAATGGGTGTGGCATTGGTAATGAGCATTGATAGGGAGGCAAAACCACCAAGCACACACACAGAGTGTTCACTGCTCCTTCTTTGCAAAAAGGAAGCTTTGACGTCTCCGCATCCCGAACCCGTCGAAGGCCGTCGAATTGCCAGGTAGGACACCCCGGAAAAGAACATCTTCTTTAAACGGGCGGTTGGTGTTTAGTGCCCTCCAGTGCGTTTTGCACGAGGATTCTGTTTCTTTCCAGTTGGTTGCTATGTTGGCTTGAAGCCTCCTTTCATATCTTGGAAAGAATGGCTGCAAGATCTACAGAATGGATCCAAATTGTACGTTCAGCATTGAGGTGGATCCAGCGCCGGTCACGAAGACGTGATGGCAACGATCAAGGAAGAGATGACCAGCCATGCATTCTGACAAGACGCCCTTGGTGCCGGGTGGTGACAGTGGCCTCATCACCTTGAATTGGCCGTAGATTAGAAATCTTTGAGGCATCCAGCTGACTGAAAGTTTGGAAGGATGCAAATTATATACTGTATATCAGATGGCTTTTGCCTGACAAGACAAGTCTGGCAATCAACTGCCACCTGTACTTGAGTTGCATTGCGTAATTTGCCGAGCCGTTTGAGCTTTGTCAAAGTCATCCAAATCTATCAAGTGAGAGATTAGACCCATGACAAAGAATACTGCATGCTTTGAACAGCTTTTGGTGTGGTTCATGCACTTCTCAACGTAGCTTGACGATGTCAGTCTTTAAAAGACGGTCATGTCAGCACAATCAGTCACCGTTCCGGTCCGTCCGGCAGCGTTCTGTGGGCGCTGATTTTTGAGCTCTGAAGACCGTAGAAAGCGGGTAAGGGAGATGCGATGGATGGGTTGGATGGGTTAGATGGGTGAAGATTTCTTTGCACTAGCTGCAGACACCGCGGCACTTCATGCGAGGTTGTTGGTCTTTTTGACACTCTGCGTTTTTTTTGACTCGCTTGTGCTGAAGAGTTCAGCTCCAATCCCCAGCATGCCTGCAGTTAGGGTAGCTTCAAGTAGCCAGAAATAGTAATCTCAAATTGTTTTCTGTCCACGCGACGTCGTTGCACACCTGCAGGTACTGTTGCCCACTGCAAAGTCTTTGCACTTGTGAAGTGCAACAGTTTGCTTCACGATGTTTGATCGACCAGTTGCCGTCCCTGCACGGGGAGCAGGTGGGGTCCTTTTTCGTTGAGACCCTCTCTTTGAGAAAAGACCTTGGAAAAAGTCCTGTTCCCATAGTCCTGTTCCCATACAGTAGCTATGTACCTATCATATCCGGTTTCTTTCTCCGGTCGCATTTGTCCGAGGCTTTCTCTCTCTCCTCTCTACACATGCTGATCTTGTCAGAAAGGCAACTGCTGCGGTTTGTTGGAGGGTTTCTGAGCGGGCACGTGCCCACAGTGTGGCATTGGCTTGGGATTTGTCCACTCTGAGGCCAAACCGCCATAAAGTTTGTGACTTGTGATATTGTACATGTTGTTTCCGTAGCATCTAGAAGTCCGAGTCCAGCAAGTTTGGCCCACTTCCAGACATGTTTATTTGCACTGTCAGGCTCTCCTTGGTATCCCAAATACAAGAATCTAGACCTTCTTTGCTTTGGGTGTTGACACCTCAAAAGGGGCAGAAAATCCACGGTCGAGCCATGAGATGCCAGGAGCTGGAGTGGCCAGGTTGAAAGAACTGGTGGCACTGATAATTCGGAGTGTCAATGTCTGTGGCTGAAGTCCACTTTGTAAAGTACTAAGTACAAGTTTGTTTCTGAGATTTCCAGGGTTGGCCCACCAGTCACCAGCTCGGCGGATCAAACTCGGATGTTGCACAAGGCGCCAAGTATGATGAGTATGTATGACCCGTATATCAACTGCTAAGAACAGGGTCTGCAGATGTGGATGTCGTTGGATGACCTGACTGGTGTCGGTAGGTCATGCCATGGTGTCTGCAGAGGAATGGCCTTCGCTTCCCGAGAATGCACCGGGCAAGTGGACGAGTTGCTCTTTGCAACAGGCAAGGAGTGTGGCCATTCATTGCATGATCAAGTCACAGTCTTCAGGTGGGCCAGCCTAGAACATGAAACATCAGCAATATATATCAATATACTGTAAATTTGACAGGAGCCTCGAGCGAGTGATATTACCAAGAGACCTGCAAAGTTTGACCTTTCTCAGTAAGTTCAACCAGAGCCTCGAACGAGTGACCTTCCCAAACAAGCTTCACATCTTGACATTTTGCGAGAAATTCCTCGGGAACTTCTTCGACCAGAGTGTGAAACATCTGACTTTGGCCGAACATCTTCACAGTCTCAGTGTTGGTGGCTCGCTGGTGAGCAGAGTGCAAGTTGCCCGATTCGAGGTTGGCATGGTGCCCGGATCGAAGGCATATGTTGGCCATGAAGATCTCAGGATCATGTCCCGATTTTGTGGCAAGTTCGGTGGTAAATGGTCACTAGACAAGTTCCTGTTCTTGGGCAGGCCGTTAGCAGCGAGTTCTCCTTTGACTCACTGAAGTCCTTGAATGAAGAGGCTGCCAAGATTGCCGCAGGTGAGAGGAACTGGCCTGGAAAATGTTTAGATTAGATGTCAAGTTATCAGAAGGGCGTGAAACAAACTAAATGATTAAAACAGGCTTGTGGTCGAGGAAAAAACACTGCAACAAACACAGGGAACTTGATATGCCCACAATCGCCATTGCGAATAGAATGGAAGATATCGTGGTTTCCCAAGAATCTTAGTAGCAAGTTCCCTGTAATTATATAAGCATTCTTGAACAAGGGGATTCACGCAACTAGACAAGGGTTGTAGGGCTGTTCCTACTTGCAGCAGGAAAGAGGCCTGAAATATCCCAACTTCTTGTTCCTGCCGCCGTTCTGCCCTTTGCTGTGCAAACTTTGGGGTCCCCTGCCATTGTAATCCAGGTGAGTTCTCCATCAGCCAAGCCGACGAGGCGGACACCAAGGAGGATTGAAGCCTGGGCCAAACACCCCAGCTTCGGCGTTTTGGTGACTTGGAAAAAGGTATCTTGACACAAAACAACCCTGCCAACCTTAATGTGATCAACAAAAACTGCCTGTTTGAGACTTGGTCCGTTTGCAGCAATTTTGGATGGACCCCACGGCCCGAAAGCTACTACTTCACGCAAAGAAAGGTGAGTTTTTCAGACTCACATCCTGGTCTCCAAAAGCGTCCTGAGGGACACAAGAAGAAGTTGCCAGGGCCAAAGGTTGTGGAGGATATTTATGGGACTTGTGATGGACATGAGACATGGACGCCAACTATGTCTCAAGAACTTCCGCAATTGGTCTAAAAAAGATGGCATCGTCCTGCACTGGGCTTTTACAATTTAAAACCTACAGCGGCATCTCATAGCTGAAAGGCAAACAGAGCTTGCAACCAGTGCACCAATTGGTATACACAAAATGAAGGCATGGATTTCTGGCTGCGGGAATTGATCAAAATTTGGTCCATTTTGTGTGTGTGTGTGTTTTTTTTTTTTTTTTTTTTTAAAGGGACTTGAGCTAAGAAACCATTTGAGGATTCATGTTGACTGTGAAGGATGACTAGCTCGATTGAGGGAATTCTTCTCAACAGGAAAACACTTTCTGGATCTCAACCGCCGGAATCAAACCAGACTCTCCATTTTGTCCATACTAATTTCAAAATGAGAGAGAGAGAGAGAGAGATAGAAAGTGATGTTTCAGCCCCAAGCAACAACTGGCTGTTTTTAATCACCTATTGTCAATGCTATTTGAGGGACAGCTGCGTGTAGGAGCTCCAGTCGGCTCTCCAGCAGATCTGCCAGTGCTGCAAGGAGCAGGCAGTTGCTGCTAAAGTTGATATACGGGTCGCTGTACAATTTTTGTTAAAAGTTTCTATATGCTTACTGTACATATCATAGCAGAGCTTTAAAAGAAACACACATATTTGGTCTACCATTTCTGTGGAGCACTTTTCCACCGTTTGCAGGTTGTGACCTTCCAATTTTGTGGAAGACGTCCTGAAAGTAGAGAGGTGGAGGCGACGGAAACGGCCATTTTGTTTGTTTCGACAGGGGATAAGACTGCGGGGGAAAGCTACTGGAACAGGTCGTGAAACCTTCTCAGAATAGAGCAACCAATTTTTCTGGCGAAAGCTCTGTGAATCCTCAGTGTTGGCAAATAAAGCATGATGAAACAAAATCCACGAAATGATATGGTAAACTCAGCAAACTATACCGCTTTATTTTTGTGGTTTACCACAGCAGAATTGGATGGTCGGTCAGCCATATTTAAGGGCGTCGAAAAGCTTCGTTGCCCGCAGACTTTTGCTGCTCATGGCCAGCAGTCGCAAGGTTAGAACACAAGTGAATAGATAGCATGAATAGCACAAGCAATGCAAGCCAGAAACGTGCACTGGCCAAATCAATTCGAACAGAGCCATTGCAATGTCCTTTGTTCCCAAACATTCACAGGTTTTCCCACCCCAAACCCATTTCAACAAGCTATGCACTTGTAGCAACCCAGTAAGTTGTGGATATATTTCGACCCAGGCCAACTCTCAGGTAGGTGCCCGTTTCAGCTGCATCCGTTTCGTTCGCTGCGCGATGCATTTGGATCTCTCGTTTTTTTCGTTGGCCTTGGTGGGATTTTTTGCTGGAATCAGCTCGGGGCTCTTGGTGAAACTCTACAAGGCACTTCTGGGTCCAAGATTTATTTGGTGTATCGCAACGAAAATCTTCAGGGAGATGTCATGTTTTAGATCAAAGTTTGATAGAACTATACCAGCTATTGAAGACGCAACATTTGGTGAATCTTGATGTTTCAGATCTTGTACTGTAACGCTAGAATTTTCTCTATTGTGGACCAAAACCGTTTACCAGACGGCGGCCAGCTTCCCCTGAGGTCATCTTGGAGACTTTCCTCACACTCATATGGACGCGGCTTCCAGCCGCACTTTACGCCTTGGGCTGGAGTGATGAGGTGCGGATGTGCCATTTTGAATGACCTTAGAGTCATAGCACGTTTCTTCGCCATATGGGCCATAGCCACATTCACACCAGAAAGCTCCGCTGTGTTGTGAGATGTTGTGAGGCTTCTTTCAGCCTGTTGAATCTGACCTGGATCTTGGGCGCCTTCTTTGGTGCCATGGTGGGCTTGGGCCGGGCCTACCTGCCGGAGGAGGCCGTCACCAACATGAACGTCTGGGTCCAAGCACTCCATGGTCCCAGTGGCTGTGCCGCGTGCGGGCCTTGGGTCTTGGGACTGGTGGTGCTCTCGCTGTTGACGGCCTTTGGAGGGGCTTCAGTGGGGCCTGAGCCAGTGGTGATCATCATGCCATCTGTGGTCTATGTGGGCATGGTGAAAAGATTGCTGAACCCTTCAGTGCAAGTGTTGAGAGTGGCAGCACTAGCAGGGGGAGCAGCAGGTTTAGCAGCGTTTTTCGGCCTGCCTTTGGCCAGTGCCTTTTTTGCGATGGAAATTCCACACATGGACGGAGCCGAATTTGCTCTAGAGGCCTTTTCAGCCTGTGTGGTTGCAGGTGTGGTTGGAACCATTGTGGGGCACTGCATCTGGGAGCCCCAACAACTGCTGGGCAACAGTCGCTTTTGGTTTCCTGGGGGCGATTCTCCAGACCAACCCGAGATCGCCTCCCGGCAGTTTGGCATGGGTGCAGTGGCCATGGGCATTTTGGCTGGTATCGTGGGGGGCCTCACGTCCTACCTGCTGGTGACATTAATGAGGCGAAAGAACCAAACGGCAGACATAGCAAGAGAGCTAGCTAGCTAGGAGGGAATGAAGATGAAGGAAGGAAGGCAAAAGATATATAGATACCCCTTGCCAATTCACCCCTGGGGCCCTGGGGCGCTAATTTTAGAGAATTAGGGGCTGGCCTGAATTGGAGCCCTATAAAATTCTAAACTTCTAAACCTGATCCAGAACACAAGTCAAACTCACTACAAAATTGACATACCACGCATACTCCCGAACAGGCCTTTTCACCTCGCTTTTTTTTGCCTATAAAGTTGGCAGCTGTGAACCTAGGCGTTTTGTGGATCCTCGAACGTGTGTCTTCCAAAAAAGTGATTAAAACGACCATGTCTAAAGTATCAGATCTCCAAGTTGCTAATTCTATGTGGCTTGAAGTTTTTCTGTACTGCGCACAAACTTTCGAGCATCAAAGTTGCCATTCCTAAAGTCTTCTTTTCACAGGATGCCAATTCGATTGGCTGCCAATTTTATTTCGGACACCCTTTGGGCCTATAAAATCGAAGACACACTCAGGATCCCAAGGATTAATCAGGGTGGTACCTCCGAGATTTGGGAATCATGGCCCCTGTGTGCTTCGAATAAAATTGGGCGCTGGATAAAATCAGCAACCCTGGAATTGGTGGCTTTAGAAAGCAAGCCAGACTTCCTTAAAAAGTTGCTCCCTATAAAGTTGGAAGCCAAATACAATAAACAACCCCAGACTCGACAACACTGCCTCTGACCACTATATTTTTTGCAACATGGGTTCCAAATAAAATTAGAGATCCACTTTGATGGCCCTATAGAATTGGAAGAATGCAGAGCAGGGGGCACGGCCACCCGATATAAAACGCCAACTTTATTCAACACCGAGCTATGCCAATTCTATAGGGGAAACTGTATATAGATGATACATCGAGAAATAGTATATACACGCATATACACGCATAGATGCATGGATATCTAGATACATCTATACATGTACTAGCATGTACATACAATATAATGTAGACAAAAAGTTCTATGTGTGTTTCATTGGGATCTCTATTTCAATAACTCCTGTTCGTCAGGGGCTGGCATCCTTTCTTCGAACACATCAAGCACATCAAACATCAGCACAGATGGAGGGCCTTGCGCTACAGCTGCCTACTGGCGGTGGTGGGGGCCGCCAACGCAGCCATGTCCTTTCTCTATCCCAGTGCTTTGTGGTGGGGTGAGGACCAACTGCAGGTCGTGCTCACACGTGGCTGTTCTTTTGCTGCTGGGACACAAAATATGACCGTTGCTGGATTCTCCACTTTTCGTGGGCACGTTTTGCTAAACTCCCCCTTGGCGACCCGTTTGTCTCAGATTTGAGGACCAGAATTTGAACTACCGGGGATCATTGTAAAGCCGTAAAGACGTCCTTTGCGTCAAACTTTGCGTGTCTGCTTTTGCGCAGTCTAAGTTCCTGGAATAGTTTGCATATTTCTAACTTGCCACTCCGTTTTTGCTGGTATCTTGAGTCATTGAGTACATCGCCCAGGGTGCAAAGATCTTCCCTGATTGCGAACCAGTGAAGCTCAAGCAACTTGGATTTTCGAGGTCATGGCTTACAAATTGGCATCCAGATTCATAGGAATAGATTGGAATCCAATTTGTGGTGTATTTCTGGTTAGTACATGTTAGTACCATATTCATATTCAATAATAAATACAGCATATATAATACACCATCATTGATTCTAAGTAATATATATATATATTACAGTAGCCATGTATTGATCCATTGGCGCCCCAGCCAGGTATCTGTACGAGAAACTCATCTACAAAGATGCCATCGTTGCTCACCCGGGCATCTCGATGTCAGGCGTGGGGATCATGACCAAAACGCTCACGATGTGTCATTGCTTTGTGAAGGTGGATTTGAAGATTCATGGTCTAGATTTCGAGTTTTTGTTTATTGTTGTAGTTATAGTTATTGTTTAGGTATAGTTGTTGTCCTTGTAACTCTAAATTCTCAATTTGGAGTTTGTCAAATCATCTCAAGATGCTCCTGAAAGGCTGGGAGATGTTCGGCCTGGGTTTGGTGAAGCTGGTGATGATCAGCATATGCGAAGGTGCTGGCTTCGTGGGGGGTCCCATCTATCCCATCATCTTCGCCACTGGGGCCATGGGCAGTGCCCTGGGGGCCTCCAGCTGGGTCTCGGTGCTCGGGGGGCAATACGTCTACATTTGCACCGCTGCAGCCATGAGCACAGGACTGGCAGCCCTGCTGCACACGCAGGTCTTTGGAATCTTGATCGTCATGGAGCTGCAGGCCAACATTCCGCATGGCAGCGTGAGCTCCCAAACCATTGCGCTGATGACCGCGGTCTATTCCTTCTACCTGTGGCCTGGTCCGTTTCGTTGGGTTTCAGAGTTTACGGTAGATTTTCTTGGAAAAAGCCGTGAGAAGTTGGAGAAGGTTAGAGTTTCTAGTAAATCCCATGAAAATTGGAGACGCTTAAAGCGGCTCAAATTGGACCAGACAAAGATCACATTTTATGCATTTGATGCATTTTCCAGTCTCCAAGAAGTTGTGGGGCCTAATGATGTTCAATGTCTCCCCAAAGTCTCAGCCACTCCAAGGCTCACGCGGAACTATGTGACCTGGCATTCCAGACCAAATTTGGATCATATTCGGTATATCTGGGCTCACTTTGTACCCTTGCTTGGGTGTATAATCCAAAAAAGAGGTCACAAGTTGCTTGCGCATTGTGTTGGCGGTGTGTTTTTCTCAAAGTAAACGAGCGATTTTGGACAGTTAGTTTTTTCTTCTGATGTTTTGGTCAGTTTTTTCGCTTCAGGTGGCACCGTACTTCCAGTTGGTGTCCCAGCAGAAGCCGCGGCAGGATCTGCAGTACGTGACCCCTGAACCTGAAGCGGACTCTGACTCGGATGAGACCACAGACACAGACCTGGAAATGGAAGCTTGGAATTGAACATCAAGATTTTTGTTTTTTCGGTTTCCGAGGGTGGCCACTTTGAAGATGGTGCCCTTCCCAGGAGCGAGTGCGAACCGACACAGAAGTGGTGGGCACCTTATCCGAGACCACCGGCAGTGATGGTGATGAAGTGGAGCCAAAGTCTACCAAGAGCTCCAGGTACTGAGTTAATGGGATGGGTCCCACATGCACTTCAGAGTTTTTCACAGCCTTGTAAGCCCAAGTTGATTGACATTCTGCATATTTCATGTGTTCCCTGGGTGTCTTACCACCTTTGGTCTCCCTGCAGGAAACCGTCCAGTCCGCAGCTTTAGCAGGCAAACCGCGGCAAACCCGTTGAAGGCTTGCTGCGACTTGGTGACAAACCCAGTTGGACAACGACCAACGAAGCTTGGCGGTAGAAGCTGAAAGAAGCCAAAAAGAATCCGGATCATGTCTTTGTTCATTCAAGTGGGACTTATTTTTTATGATTGTCAGAGATTTTGGGATTGTCGCTTCGTCATATTAGTCCATTTGTGTAATCCTCCGTGTGACCAAAAAGACAGGGGCTGGCAAAGTCAGATGAGGCGATCCAGAGACGATTCGATCGGAAACTGACGCGTTGCAAAGATGTCGCGTAGTGAAACCTTTTAACTTATTGGAAGCCTCTGAAACATCCATAGACGCTCTACAAACTTCCTGTGGTCCTGAAGAACCTTGTGAGAAGCTTTGGTATGGTCCCCGGAACCCTTTTTGTACAGGCAAATTGTCTTCCAAGGGGCCACCTGCTTTACTTCCACGTTACTTCCAGGGAGAAGTTGTTGAGCCCGGGAGTGAAGGGTACCGACCGTTGGAAGAGCAGAAACAAACATCTTAAAGGCCGCTTTGCCATCAAAGCTAATAGCGATGGCCTCCAATCTAAGAGCAATGGCCTCCAACCTAGAGAACCGAAGACATGCCCATCGAAGAAGTCTTTAGCGAAGGCTTCTGCTGAGCACTGTTTCTGCGGACAGAAGCTTTTTGACTCGCTCTTGGTGAAGAGTTGAGTTCTAATCCCCAGCGTGCCTGTATTTTGTGCTTGTTGAATGGGTCCCCAAAGAAGAACGTCTGAGACACGCTGGCCCCGGGCTGCCTTGCGTGTGCACATGGTGAGTTGTGCAGGTACAGTGAGAAAACTGCTGACCAAAAAGCCAACTGCAAAACAGTTGCACTTGCGGATTCCAACATATTCCAACCAGGGGGGTCGTTGCCTGGGAGATCTCCCTATTTTCACAAGTTCGTCCAGTGACTTTGGGCGACACATTTCTTCACCGATCCAAGCCCTTCAGCCGAGCCAGGTCGTCACGGTTGGACGGGCGGACGGGTCTGAGGCTTGGTGGAGAGGGGGGGGTAGTGTGGTTGGATAGTAACAAAGACGCTATTAGGTGGAGGCCATCGCAAATAGGTTGGAGGCGGTGGTGGGATATCAGACCCGAAGAGACCGTGGTTAGACCAATGAGTCTCACCCACCGTGTCGATAGAACCACGTGCGACCATGGAAACACCAGGGAAGGATAAGAGGCAAAAAACATCCAAGACTCACGGGGTCGGGTTGGTTTTAGTAGCCCTTCCCTCTACGTGCCATCCCCAGTGGATCCCAGTTACCACATGTTACCACTATGATATAGTGGAACCACGTTTCCAAGGTTCATGGTTTTCGTCTTTGGAAACACTGGTGACCTACTACATGCACTCACTTAGGACTAAACACCACCCCGACATGTGACTGCTGGTAGTGCATGGAGTTTGATCCGAGATCGACCATTGGATCTTTACGGAGGCGACATTAAAGGAGTGCACGCATTTGGTCAGAAATCATGTAGACAGGTTGAAGCAATAAGGACTTTGAGATCTGTGAACCTGGAAAAGACAGGTTCTATAGGTGAATTATACGAGTATTTCTCTATTAGAATGAATATATTCTGAATATACATAGAGTGTGCATACCTGAAAACCAAAACCACCAATGAATGGATGTTTCCCCAGACAGCCACTTCATATGTACGAAGGATCTCAATCGCCATATTTCATGTTATTTCCATATATATATATATTGAAACAACCATTTATTTATGGTTGTTGCGGTTGCCAGGAGTTGGCAGGTATATCCAAATTATTGTGTATATATTTATATATATTAATTCTACGCTGGTAGCAGTGCAGTGTGGAGATGAGTCCACGTGTGGCGACATGAGCTGAGCAACCTTGTGTAAGTGTAGCTCCAGTTTGGATGTGCCTCCTCACCTGAAGTTCATTCATGTCCTCCAACCCAACTTGTGAGAAGGTGAGCGGAACATGTTCTGTGGGGGGTTGGGGTGTCTAATGACCAACTTGGACTGATTGGAACCATTGAAAGTCCTCGAATGTTTTAGTGGAATGCTGAGGAAGTGGAGAAAGGCAGCGATCAAGGCGTTGAGAAAAGGAATGCTCGTGCAGAGAAGAAAGGGCAAAGAAGTGCTTTACAGAAATGCTAATAAGTGTTTTGGGAGGATTTTGGGATGTAGGAACCTTCGGAACTGGTCCATGATTGACTCTTGCATAAAAGCTTCCACGTTGCGCAGAAGCCTTTCGGCTCATTCTTTGAGTAGATTGTTTTACAGCTTTCGAGCATTGCCTATCGCGGCTAGCTCGCGCACTGTCGCGCCTCCTCGTCATGGGCTTAGTTGAGTTTTAGTCACGCGTTGTCATGCCCTCCTGACCTGTGGCAACACAGGTGTATTTGATATAGGGTCGTGCCTGGTGCTCCCCCATTTTCTTTTTCCGCGCGCCAAAATTCCAAGTACCTTTTGAGAAGTGGGACTGGGTGGGTTTAGAGTTTGGAGGGTCGCCTGGAGCCCTAGGGTGCGTTTCAATCACTGGTATTGAGCATTTGGCAGTCGTAAACCGGCACCGTTCACCGAACCCCACAAAGCGCAACAGCTGCGAGCCCATACTCTTGAGAGATCTTGAGAGGAAGATTGGTAGGATCCACGGGCCCTCTCTGGAGAAAATGCACCAGTTTGTTGGTGATCTCCTTTCCCTGCTTGGGGGACTACATTGGAGACATACCTGGGCAGCGAGGGTGAAGAGTAGGATCATGTTCCGGTCGTGAATCCCTGGTCAATGGATATATGGTTGTACCCTGAAAGTGGGTTTGTACTTTTTGTACAAGTATATAGCTGGAAGAAAGGGACTGCAGACGTTTTGTTGTTGGTCAAGAAGACACTTCTTTTGGCAAGGACCCAAGGAAACATCAGTTCCGACTCCCGGTTCCCCGAACAGAAAGAAAGAAAGCAGACCACTGATCTGAACAAATACCCCTTCACAAGGGAGGCAGAGCATAGCAGAGCTTTGTTGCCCCAAAGACTACCTTTTCCCTAGAGGTCCAAAGTAAGACCTGGTGCTGTAAAAAATAGAATCAGTAGTGATTTGTATATGACCAACTCCATGTAAAACGAGGTCAGTTCCGGACATGCACCGAACGTGTTTTCCGCCGCATCTTCCGGGTGGATCCAAGGTCGCTTCGGCCTTCTTCCGGCGCTTCGCCGTGCGATTCCCACCGCAGACGAACGGGAACCGGGTTCGGGGCGCCGAGATGCGCCGAGCGGAGGCGGAAATGAGGAGGGTCAAGAGGGTATATGCCGCCGCAGATGCAAGAAAATGACACACAATCTATATACACATATATCGTAATACATATATAATATAACTAGCAATATAGTATAAATCTAACATTGATGAACTGACTCAGGGAAGGTTTCCAGGGCCTGTCAAATAATCCTGTCCAACTATTAAAAAACACGAGGGCCGCTCCCCCTATTAAGAAAAACTCGGTCGCATTTTTTTAAATAGGGGATCCCCGAAATCGGGGTGGTCCAAAATAGGGTCACCTGGGAAGAGCTTCAAAACCAAAAAGTCACCCAGGATTCTTTTTTTTATAACATCCTTTATTAAACTCGTATCAAACATTCAAAATCCTCCAGATCGAAGGGTCTTCCTTTTCCCCTACAACAACCTTTATTAATTGGTCGTTTTTGGAACCTAAAAAAAAAACTACCCACCAAAATCGACCATGTTGGTAGTTTAGTAGCGGTTTGAAAGGGCGGTTAAAAAATCAAAAACAAGCACGTATTTAGGGTTTCGGACATGGTGTATTTTTAATTGGGGCGGCTTGTTTAATAGGTACTCGGGATTAGCTGTTGTTTTATCGCGGTTTTGCGAGGTGTTTGGGGTCAAGCACTCGGAAGGTCTGTCAGTACGTCTTCTTTGTATGCTCTCAGCAACGTGCTTTTCGTTTAGTTTTAAGGGCTGACGCCCAACACCAGGCCACAGCAGGCCAACGAAGGAAAGGACATGAGGCGTCACCGTGGGTGCTTGTGGTGGTTTTTGTTTTTGCTGCTGCTGCTGCTGCTGCTGATGCTGGTGCTGCTGCTGTGGTGGTGGTGGTGGTGGTGGTGGTGGTCGGTTGTTGGTTGATTGTTGGTTGTGTGTTGATGTGTGTTGATGTGTGTTGATGTGTGTTGTGTGTTTGTTTGTTTGTTTGGTTGGTTGGCTGCTTGCTTGCTTGCTTGGTTGCTTGCTTGCTTGCTTGCTTGCTTGCTTGCTTGCTTGCTTGCTTGCTTGTTTGTTTGTTTGTTTGTTTGTGTGTTTGTTTTTTTTGTTTTTTGTTGCTGTTGTTGTGGTGTTGTGGCGGCGGCTGTTGTCAGAAGAGTGTGATCGTCATTGTGCTGTTGGTGTTGTTGTTGTGGTGGTTGGCCGCGGCTGTTGGGAAGGGAAACAACCACAACAAAGTGCAAACGCTGCAGGCCAACTTCGTCGGCATCACTCGCAACACACCCTCGCAACCTGCCTGGGCACCTCCAAAAAAATATCAAAGGCGAGGTTGGTGCATTTTTGTCCATGCGCAGAAACCGTAAAGCACAGTATTCTGCACGTGCCCTGTCATACTGAAGGTAAAGACCGAAGGTATATGCCTGATGGCGTAGGACTTAGGACTGGGCATGCTGAGGTGCGGATCCACCCGGCCTGCCGTTGTCAGACAAAGCATCCTTCCAAGACCGAAAGTGGTTGACTTGCTATTGTAGTGCAAAACCCTTAGAAAAAACAATATGGAACACTGGTGGTTCGGGACTCAGCCTATCAATTCAAATGATTCAAATGTGGTTGGAAGCTGACCAAGATGGACCGGTTCACAATCAATCACCTCAAAGGATGAGCAAACTGTCCATCGCCCACACACTCCATTGGACTGGAATATATGCCAACATACATTGACCCCGAAACCTTAAACATGTCTCATGGAAAGTTTGGGTCGCTG